TTCGCCTTGATGCTGTCAAAAGCATCCTGGTGCTCTTGCTCCCAGCGCCAGTCGACGTCCTTCTGAGGGAGGCTCGACAAGGGCTTAGCGAAGCCCGCGTACCCTGCGCTGTACTTGTGAAGGTAGTTGGCCATGCCCAACCACTTTCGAAGATCCTTCTGGGATCGGGGCGTCGGCCATGCTGCTATGGCCTTGACCTTGTCTGAGTCAGCCCGAACGCCCACGTTGCTTAGGAAGCAACCGAGAACTTTAATCTCTGGTGACGCAAAAACGCACTTGTCGATGTTGGCGTAGAGCTTGTTCGCTCGCAATACGTCCAACACTCGACGGAGGTGTCCTCGATGCACCTCCATGGCCGTCTTTCCTCCCTCGGCACGGCTATGGACGAATATATCGTCGAAGTACGTCTGTACGAAGGTACGCAAAGAGCGGAACAATTGCGTCACCAGGCGATTGAACGTCGCCGGGGCGTTAGACAAGCCCTGCGGCATGACGAGCCACTCCCAAAGCATGCCGCTTGGAGTGTTTACCGCGGTGAGCGGGATGTCGCTCTCTCGCATCAGGATTTGGTAGTATCCGTCTACCAAATCCAGCGCACTGTACAGTACGCTCCTGGCCATGTTGTTCAACAACACATCCTTTCGTGGGATTGGTGTTTGGGCCGGCACCGGTGCGTTGCTCAGCTTGTTATAAGCGCGAAACAGACGCCACTTTCCCTTCGACTTCCGAACGCAGAAAGTCGGCGTCGAGTGCGGGGATTTCGACTCCCGCACCATGCCTGCCTTTGCTTTCGCGGCGAAGAAGGCATCAATGACCTTTCACTGTTCGCGCGGGAGAGGCCATTGCCTCGTGACACAATACTTTGTGCCGTACGCCTCGATCCGGTGGGAGTTGGGTCGGTGGGTGTTTGTTCACCACGTCCGCATACTCCGTCACCAAAGGATACACCGGATCCTTGGGGTTCTTAAGGATCTCAGAACCCACGCGCGTCTGATGCTGCTTGTTTAGGTCTTCCAGGACGTCCTCGTCCAAGACAGAGGAGGAGTTCAGCTCCTCCTGAGTGGTCTCAGGTTTCATGAGCACCATCTCAGCAATCTCCTTCACCCCCCAGCCTTGAGGTTGGCCAGGAAAGACTCAGCCGTCATTTCCTCGAGGTTCAGTATCTCTGCAACCTCTGGCAACGGTTCCAAGTGGACACCAGATGCCTTGACGGGTAAACCGGTCTCGCCACCGAAGATGTGATAACACTCTTCCACCGGCCTTGTCGGAGGAGCCCGGGTCCTGGACTCCGAGTCGCTTGAAGCGACGTCGATCGGAACGAAGTTCGGGTCCGACTTGAGGCGGCGGCGGCGTCGTTGACGACGGCGACCGTGACGTGGAGCTTTGCTGCCTACGTCTAGGGATATTGTTGCTACGACATCCGAGGCACTCGTGGCCTCGTGGGGTACTGTGGTACCCACACAGGAAGCGTGTTCGACGCCTTCCTCTTCAGTTAAGGTCTGGGCGACCGCGTGTGGCACTGTGTTACCCACACAGGAAGCGTATCCGACGTCTTCCTCTTCAGTTAAGGTCTGGGCGACCGTGAGTGGAACTCTGTTACCCCACTCTGAACACGCTGTTCTAAGTGTTTGTGACAGCTGCAGCTGTCTGCGGAGCTAAGCTACCCGCCTGTGGACCTAAAGTTACCCACTTAGCCAGCGCCTCTTCTGGGCGCTGCCACCATCAAAACATCCTCGGAGTCGTCATATACGTCGACGACTCCCCAAGCATCTGCCGGGATGCTTTGGTAACCCTGGCCAACCCTTGCGGGCGCCCCGGGTCCTGACAGAGGTGGAAACATGACTCACCAATGCTCTGTCGGACTGCGCAGGGCGGCTGGCACCGATTGCCTTGCCTCGCCAGTCGATCCAGGGCTCGTGCTTCTCAAGCCACAGCATGCCCAGGATCATATCATATGGATCCATATCGAGAACAGTGAGCTGTTCGAGGCTGTCAAAGTCTTCAAACTTGACGTCCAGATCTACTTGGACGTTGGGGGCAGTGACGACCTTCCCGTCGGCCAGTCGTACTGACACCGTCCCGTTGCCCTTGCTTCCTCTCAAAGCATCGGACAGCATGTTGCTGTTGCGAGCAACCGTCTGGCGGCGTGCAAAATTCTTCGACGCCCCAGAATCGATCAAGATTCTAAAGGGATGATCGTATCCCCGTACACACCCCTGTACTACAAGCAACCCGCTGCTGCTCTTCGCCGATTCGAGAGTGCGAAAACTCTCAGGAGCTAAGTCCCCGTGGTGCGCGCCACCCGCGCACCCATCACGAAGACTTAGTTCTTCCCCAGTAGGGCGTCCCGCCCCTACTGGTTCCCTGCGTTTCCCTGTCCCCGGGATCCTGGCTTCTGCCAGCGACCCTTGAGGACGGGCTTGGGGAAGGACCGTCTGCGGAGTCTTTCGCGGGACAGTCGCGCTTGAAGTGGCCCATCTTCCCGCAGCTGAAGCAGCGGAGGTCACGCTGTTCGGCGGACCCGAGTTCCATGGGAACTGGTCCGTTGGGGCTTGTACGACCGGAAGCCGACAAGGAACTCCCAGGCCATGCTGAGGCCGGCGTACGCGCCTGGCGATGGCTGTACTCTTCTTGAAGAGCCACTTGAATCGCCTCTTCGAGAATGTTTGACTGCACCCGGAACAGCTGAGTGCGTGCGGGGCCCACTCGAAGGCCGTCCATGAACACAGTCATCTTGATGTGTTCGTTGAGTGGGTTTCCCACTAGGGACGCCGTGAGCTCCCGTATCTCTTGCACATACTCGTCCAGCTCGCGCCTCCCTTGTCTACACGAGAGGAAGCGCGAACGCTGGCGGTACTCGTAGTTCGCCGGGAGGAACGCGGCTCGGAGCTGTTCACACAGCTGAGCCCAGGATGTGAAACATCCAGGGGATGTTGTTTCCCGTGTGTACACCCAACTCTTAGCACGGCCGCTAAGATTGGAGAGTGCAAAAGCAACACGAAGCTGCTCGGTCGAGATCAGAGCCGCGTCCATCGCGAGCTCTACTTCTCGGACCCAGAAGTGAAGGTTCTCGCCTTCCTTCCCTTCATACGGCTTAACCTTCAGCCGTATTGGCTTCGGGTGAGGCGGATTTGCTTCCGCCGCCGGAGCCTGCAGGTTCTCCCGCACATGCGCGATGAGGCCCTGCTAGTACGCGTCGAACGCATTGACGCGCTCGAGCTGCTCAGCCGGTGTTGACACCACCAGGCTCTGCAGGGCCTCCATCCCGAAGATGCCTGCCATCTTCCGAACCGACTCGAACTGAGAGTCGTTCAAATGGGAGAAGTCGTTCCTATCCATGGCAACGAACTTCGGAGAGGTTCAGGTAGTCTATCCCCGGTGGCGTGGATTGACTACGAGTGCTACCAAGTGTGACGGGGTCACACAGCACCTTGCGCTAGAGGAAGTTATCTTCCGAGAGTATACAAACTCTCAGTGAACGGCAGCTCACAGGTCCCTTCTTTATTTAAAAGAGAGCGAAGTGACCTAAATAAGGTAGATTGTAAACTGAGTATATTTATAGGTAGATTAAGTTTGGGTTTAATACAAACTATAAGTCACCTATAGAAATGCAATGTCGTTGACCAATGGAATTCGCTTTGTGGATAAGCGTAGGCCTGCAGTTTGTAGTGAGGCTGGTGAAGATGAATAATTATGGCTTTGAACGACCTTGGTACTTTGTACCAAATATCCCGGAGTATGACGTGTCATACTCCTGAAGTGTGAAGTGTCACACTTCATGTAACCAGGGTACACTTAGGGATACGTATTCCGCTACACACGAAATGTGGATAGGAGGCTGCCATGTGATGACAGTTTACACATCGCTGATGCACTGTCCGTTTGCCTGTTAGACCTAACAATTAATATTCATATCTAGATCTATCGATACCATGGTTACCGGAAGTGAGAGCGAAATCTGTGCCTGATAGTTTTGGGTGGCCACGAAAATCGGCTCCCATATTGCATAATCAATCTTTGCTGGGGGTCATTTTTTAAACTTGCGTAATTCTAAGTTTGGCAATCGATCAGAATCGTAATTACAAGTAAGAATGTACTGTTTCTTAAAAGTGACCGACATATGGTTAATATGTCCGGGTTTTTAAGGCCGCGTTCGGCTGTGATTTCGCTAAAACAAAAATAGCTATTTCATTTAGTCTGCCTAAGTTTAGCAGTTCAATATTGAAAAATAGCGACTTCATGAAAAACAAATCTACCACCAATTTGGAAACCAAGCATTTCGAGGCATTTAAGTTTTTTCTAAAACCTAGGTATAAAACCTGGAAACCTCAAGAATCAGTATAAAACCTCGCTGAAATAGCTCTTTAGGAGCAAGCACGGTCTCAATCATTGATGATGATTTATAATTCTTCACATTTAGCAAATAGATACAAGATTGAGAGCTGGGGCGATCACCAGCATCTCCCAGCGTAGCATGCACTGCACAGTGTCAGAGGCGTTGCGTTGTGCGTGCTCCTCGCTAGAATAATCTGTGCGTCCTGCCCATCGCACGTACTGGCACGTCTCGCCCGTGATTGAATCAATCACATCGTATATTCCGACGGACAGAGCGACGTCAGCCCACACGAGCTTTCCAGATAATTCTTCATCCGACAGACGCTGAGCTTTGTCAGTACTTACACTGTGTGTACCCAAGACGTAGCCTCTTCCCGTCACTACACCGCTATTGTCCTCTAGGTTAGACCTGTTCAGCCGGCATTCCGTGCTGATATTATCGTCCAAGTCGGACCTGCTCAACGGGAAATCCCTCGTGTCTTCAATGAGAAAACGCGCGACGACGGACCGAAAGACGTTTACATCACCGGTAGAGGAGACGTCGTGTACAACCACAAAAGCGTTTGGGGCCATCTCCTGTATGACTTGTAGGCGCAGCGTCTCCGCCTTGATTTTCCTGGACCGCTCGAGCTCCAAGTCATTGACCAACGTTGTCCGCAAAATGTCGTACACATTAAGTCCGGAGAATTGTTTTGTGAATACGAACTCCATCACACCGCAGTCTATCGTCTGGTTCATATCCCAGCCAAACGCTTGCATTCGGTGTGTATGCGTGATATTTGACGGCTGAAGTAGTCGAGATTCAACGTGATGGATATTGCGCTTGCTGTCCAGGATGATTCGTGTAAAATCCCAGTCGGTTAACCGATGGAAGCCGAGTTCTTTCTCGGCCTGAGCGTCGTCAAGCACGTCGAAATTCATTTGCCAGCTGTGGCTCTTGGTACCTGCTCCGCACACGATATCGGCCTCCTCAAAGTCCACGATTCGTTGTAATTGTCGCTTCCAGGTTATCTCCTGCTTGAGCAAACTCTGAAGGTAAAGATTCTCTGCCCCAAGTCGTCTAGCTGTGTCAACAGCCTCAGCATACTTAGGTCGCTGACATATTTGAGACAAAGCAGTATCTCTGGTGTGTGCTGAGCGCTGAGACAGCTCTTTGTACTGCTTCTCCAGTGCTGAAACGGTGGTCTGCATTTCTTGCAGCTCTAGGCGCCGGCGTTGTCTCGCTTCACGCATGCACTCGCGGTTCATCTGGCGGTGCCTAGCCAGTTCGGCTGGGCTCCTTTCGCGTGGCTGAGCCATCGATTCGCGTCGGTGGGTGCTGCC